TTGTTTTGAAATTTCAAAATACTGTAATGCCTTTTATCAAATCAAACTTAATTGAATCTTTCTTTTTGAATTTATAATAATTTTTTTGTGTAACCTATTTTATTTTAATATAAATTTTTTAATTATCATTAAATATGGTTCATTTTTTTCTGTATTTGATCCAATTCATTATTTAATAATTTTCTCAAACCAATTCACCACTCTACCCCCCATACTATTCACTATTACTATTGTGGGAAATCCAATAACCGCGGGCCGAATGGCTAGTTACTGACCACCGTAACGACCAATGAGAAAGCCGGACACGACAAGGGATTTCACCTTTTTTATTTGTGATCTCTCAGAACAGATTTTATTCAACAAGATACAGAATTTATACACACACGYACAATGAGATACAGAATGATAAATTGATATGGAAGAGAGAGCAAGCGCAGTCGACTGATAAGCTTGGCGATTGATATCGAACTCCTATCGAAAAATCGATGATCTCCGAGAAGCGAGGAGATGATCCGTGATGTTCGTCACTAGGCCCGACCAATCAGATTCCCAGGCGCAATTACGCCGCGAGTTCTGAATAATCGGCCGCCTCTATATCATGGTCTGGTTACAAAGCCGAGGTAGAAAGTGTCGCTGCTAGACACGCGCACCTCTAGTAATTTTTGGGTACGTCTGCCGAACTTGGCGCTAACAGCCGCGAGATGTCGGCACCGTCCGGGTGCATGTAGAGGGTTTCTCTATAGTAAAGATAATATTAGACTGAATTTGTTTTATGATCTTTATTGTTAGGATGCGACTTGCTTTTCTTTGTTGTACACTTCTCAACGGCTACGCACAGACTGTACTCGTCTGGTGACCACGCTTGCTAGCGTGGTTCCCTAGCCTTCTAGTAACTTAGATGGCGCGACCATCGGTCGTACCGCTACATGCAAGACATCGGAGCTACGGATAGTCAACCATGGGGTGTCAGCACCAAGCAGGTGCGGATCGCCACACTATATACAACTTTTATACTATTTAAAATGTTTGATTCATTCGCGCGCAATCACATGACTACATAAGTTCCTGTCCCCCAAAATTCTTTGGCGCGTCCCTCCTACAGGGTCCCTAGTGCTAAGCAGCTACAGCGCACCCTGGAATAAAACTTTATTTGTTCTATATTTAGGGGAAACTTTTATACATTGCGATCGTTCTCTTTATTCAACTCCGTGCCTACAAATAAAAATATATGAGTACACGACAGAAAGAACGAATTATTGAAAACTGGAGTTTACATTATGCAAGTTAGGACATGGCTGGTAACTATAGGAGTTTTTTAAAATTGATAGAATCTTGGCCATTAGATAAATCAAAACTTGACAGGTAATTTAATGTACATTACAAATTTTATATATGTACAAATGATAATAGAAATAATACAATTTATATGTATAATGATACATATCATTAGATTAATTTACACTTTTATAGGTTATAAGTAATATTAGTAGAGTTATCATTCTTATGATAATAAGTATTTATATTTGTGAAATTTTGTTCTTATGTATAACATAAGTGTTGTTCATTTCTTTTATTCAGGGATTTAGGTCAACATATTCGTGATCAAGTGAAACTTTCTTTTTCAAAAGGTGATATTACTACTCCAGTGGATCAAGAACAGTGTGACCGATATTATGCAAGTTTGAAAAGGATCGTTTCTAATCATTATGGACAAATATACACACGTAGTTTCACAAGCACTGCAAGTGGCTTAACAGCAGAACAATGTAACATTGCATTAAGTCCTGAGATGAAAGAATTTCTTGAAGAAGAAGGAAAGTATTTCGGTATAAAACGTATGTTAAATAAATATAAAGATGATTCAAAGGAATAATTATAAGATTAGTTTATTTTACTTATACGCTTTATACAGTAAAAAAGTATATCATGAGACAAGAACACAAGTTCATTGCTTAACAAAAATTAATAAACAAAATGTAATAAGCAAAAGATATTTTAGTCAACAAAAAGATATACAGGAACAAAATATAATTAAAAATAGTAACGAACACATACCTGTCATGGCCAAAGAAGTCATACAGTATTTACAACCGTCTCCGGGTAAAATCTATGTAGATATGACCTTTGGTGCTGGAGGGCATTGTAAACAAATTTTGGAATCAGCACCAGATGTTAAAATTTATACACTGGATAGAGATCCGGTTGCATACAATATTGCACAAGAGTTATCCAAGAACTATCCTGAACAAGTAATACCTTTATTAGGAAGATTTTCTGATTTACCATCATTACTTAGTGAACATAAAGTTGAAAAGAGAAGCATCGATGGTTTTTTATTTGATTTTGGATGTTCATCAATGCAATTTGACGATGCAGAAAGAGGTTTTTCTTTGTCAAAAGATGGACCTTTAGATATGAGAATGGACGGTTATAGATGTCCTGAAAATCCAACTGCCGCAGATGTAATAGAGAAAGCAGATGAGATTGATTTGTATCAGATATTGAAAATTTATGGACAAGAAAAGAAGGCTAGAAAGATAGCACGTGCACTTATTGAAGCAAGATACATGTTTAGAAAATTAGAAACAACTAAAGAATTGGCTCAGCTTGTTGAATCTGCGCTTGATAATGAAGTCAGAAGAGATCAATTGGGTAGATTCTCACATTGTGCAACTAAAACATTTCAAGCCTTTAGAATTTTTGTAAACAATGAATTAAATGAGATCAATTATGGCATGGTGCTTGCAAACAATTACTTAAAAGTTGGTGGTTGTTTGATAACAATATCTTTCCATTCATTAGAAGATACCATTGTTAAAAGGCACATGACAGGAAATATAGCAGATAGTGTGGCCAATACTATACCATTGAAATATCTAAATCGTAGTAAGACTTTTAGTGTTAACGAATTACAAAATTTAGTCACGTCTCCATGGATAATGCAGCATAAGCATGTATTGACACCATTATGTGAGGAAGTCGATAAAAATCCTAGAGCTAGATCAGCAAAGTTTAGAGCCATTACTAAAGTTATATAAGTTATATATAAAATAATGAAATATTGATTTTTTTTTTAGAAATAATACTAATGTGCTCTTGTCAGTTATTTATATGATAACATTTTATATAGAACATATAATACATATATGTAATATATGTATTACATAATTGTATTGTATTTATGTATATACATAAAATACACAGAGTATGAAAAATATAAATGACAGATAAAATTATTACATTATGAACAAATATTTAAACATGTTTACGTGAAAAATGATTTTTTTTATATTTAAAATAATCCTTCTATCTCATTTGTTTCACTATTCCAATCCATGTCATAAATACTTGGCCTAGTAGAAAGACCTGGCATCATCATAATCTGTAATTTTTAAAAATATTGATTGTATATAAATTTAAAGAAATTGATCAATATTTAATAAAAAATCTTACCTCTCCAACAGAAGCTACAACAAATTGAGCTCCAGCAGATACATATATGTCATTAACATCAAGTTTAAAACCGGTTGGAGCACCTTTGATAGATGGATCTCCTGTTAATGAATTGGCTGTTTTTGCCATGCATATAGGGTATTTGTCGTAACCTAATGTGTTGTATACTTTAATTTTTTCTTTTACCTAAAATTCGAACAAAAATCGTAAAAATTATGTTATTATTGTGTATACGTTACTACATAAAATATACAATTCTATTGAATATTAAAGGAATTGTCTTCATTAATTTTATTTATTTAAATTCACTCACTTTGTCTGCTAAAACAACTTCTCCAGCGCCATACATTTCTTTAGCAATGATGTTTATCTTTTCCTCAATACTGAGGTTCAGATCATACAATGGTTTAAAGTTACTTGGTTTTTTTGTTGCAGCGATAACTGCATCTGCCAAATCTGTTGCACCTGCTCCACCATCAGCCCAGTGAGTGCAAATTACTGTATCTACTGCACCACTCTCTGATGCCACTTTTTTGATAAGCTGTAATTCAGCTTCCGTATCGGTACTAAGAGAACAATATATATTATTTTTATTATAATAAGAAATTTTTTTTTGAAATCTATTGTAAAACAAATTTTTTACAAATTTTTGATACTTAATGTTGATTGAAATACTTACGTGTGCGAATTTATAGCTACAACAACGGGTACTCCATATTTCAGGCCATTGCTGATATGTTTTTGAAGATTTGGAAGACCTTTTTTAACAAGTTCAACGTTTTCCTCAATATATTCTTTTTTTAAAGCTGTTCCTGGGTTTACTACTGGACCACCACCATGCATTTTTAAGGCCCTTACAGTTGTAACAAGAACTACAGCATTTGGTACGAGTCCAGATGTTCTACACTTAATGTCAAAGAACTTTTCCATGCCTATATCAGAACCAAATCCAGCTTCTGTCACTACGATACCATTTGGTCCGACTAGTTTCAATGCAATAGCGTCTGCTATTATCGAGGAACAACCGTGTGCGATATTAGCGAAGGGACCAGCATGAACCATTACAGGTGTACCTTCCAAAGATTGCATAAGCGTTGGTTCGATCGCATCTTTCAAAAGGATAGCCATTGCACCAGTCATACCCTATTAAATTGATCAAAGTAAGCAAAGAATAAATATAAATGAATAGTAATACCTCAATTTCTAATAATCTTTAACTATATACGAACAAAATCTTCAGCAGTTAAGGGATTGCCGTTCTTATCGAATCCAACTACTATATTGCCCAATCTTTGCTTTAAATCTTCGACGTCTGTAGCTAAAGCAAGTATCGCCATTATCTCAGAACTAACAGAAATATGGAAAGAAGTCTCTCTTGTTTTATTCTTTTCAGTTGGACTTTGGCCAATAGTTATTTTACGTAAGAAACGATCATTTACATCAACCACTAGAAAGAAAATAAATCTTTAATAAAGATACACTTGTATGACTAACTATAAAATAATTAATTTTATTTTTTTTTATTGTACATACCTCTAGTCCACGTAATGTTTTGAGGGTCGATATCCAATCGTGCGAATTTGCGTTGTTCTTCTTCTGTCAATGAGTTTGGATCAGTTTTAGAGATTCCAAGTTTTTGTAATCTCCTTAATTGAATTTTGGAGAATTTTCGGACACCTTTAATCGAAGGTACCAGTCTGTCGTACAAAGCCTTGTCATTTTGAGTGGATTCATGGAAGTATCGAGCGTCAATTTGAGCTGCTAAAAGATTATTTGCCGCGGTTACAGCGTGGATGTCTCCGGTTAAATGAAGATTGAATTCTTCCATAGGAATTACCTATAATGAAAAAGATAACACGTTCTATTATAATTATCAGATATAAAATTGTATAATTTTATTTATGTATACACATACTTGTGCATATCCACCACCAGCAGCTCCTCCTTTAACTCCGAAAGTAGGTCCTTGACTAGGTTGCCTTAACGTAGCAAAAGAATTTGTTCCTTTATGTGCTGAAAGAGCTTGCACTAATCCAAGAGCTGTTGTACTTTTACCTTCACCGAAAGGGGTTGGCGTAATTCCAGCAACGACCACGAATTTTCCATTTTGCTGATCCTTCAGTCTCTTTAAGACATTTAAACTTATTTTACCCTTGTTATCTCCATAAGGGCTCAACTCGTTTGGTAATAGACCAATTTCTTCAGCCAAGCTTGCAATAGGTTTATATGTTTGACTTCTAGAGATGGCTATATCACTTGGGACTGGTCTTAGAGGATTAATTTTTAGAATTCTTAGTTTCCAATCGACATTAACAAGATTTTCAGCCATTTTTGTTGCCGATATTACTGTGTTTTTCATCAGCATTGCTACTGTCATAGGGCCAACACCACCGGGAACGGGCGTAATGTACGAAGCTACTTTCGAAGCTTCCTCATAAGCGACGTCACCTACTAAACGCTCACCGCTTTTTTTCGTAGGATCTGAAATTAAATACGGGTATTAAATTTAACGCAAGGATACATAATTCACAATATAACTGCGGTTATTGAAATGGAGGAAATTTATAGAATATTATTATGAAAAATACTATACGACTTTAGAACACAAAGATATTATAAGATCTCAAAATATTACTTTATTATTATATTTCTCGATATCATCGATACGAGACACTTTTTATTACTAAATTACATATATAGGCAATTAAGTACTCTTGTTTCTTTATCTTACCTGGAATGGCATTGATGCCACAATCTATGACAACAGCACCAGATTTTATCCAACTCCCTTTAACGAATTCAGGCTTACCGATAGCCACGATCAAGATATCAGCTTGAGAGATCTTGAAAATTAATTAAATTTAAAAACAAAGTAGTTTAGGAGCATTCGTGCTTTATATTCATTTTCGTATCATTTTTGGTCTTTTTGTTTGAAAAACTTACTATTTTTGGAAGATCATTCGTTTTGGAATGACATACTGTCACTGTTGCATTGTGCCATTTTAATAATTCGGCTGCAGGTGTACCTACAATTTTACTTCTACCTAAGACTACGGCTTGAGCACCAGCGATTGGTATACCGCTCCTGCAATATAATATTGAGTTTAAAAGAAGGGAAAATAATTTATACGATTTATTTACATGAAAGTTTCCTTCATTTACTTTTTAATGAGCTCGATACAGCCATTAGGTGTGCATGGGACAAATCCTGACATGTCACCGATTGCAACTCTTCCTTCGTTAATCGTGTTGAGACTGAAAAATAATGTTTTATATAATAAAATTATACATGCATCTATGCATATATTTTATTATTATGTACGTATGTTACATAATTTTTTAAATCATCGCTGAAGTTTTGTAATATTTTCATTTACCGGAAATCATGATAAAACGTTGATTTTTAATCTCATGATTAAAATAAAGATTTCAAGATTATTTCGGTAATTCTCCTAATAATATTTAATATCGTATATATAATCTATACTTTTGTCATAATGATAAAGTATGTAAGATTATAGATCTTTAGAGAATATGATGCTTTATTTAGAAATTCTTTTTTCTTTTTATCTCATACGTCACTCTAGGTTAAAGGGTGTACTGATTGTATACATTTTCACAATCGTACAGTTTTCAACGAGTTTCGTAAAACATATTTGTTACAGATTGATATAAAAAACAAACCAATAATCTAAAGCTACACGATAACAACATATTTATTATTTTGTAGGGAAAGTACCGATAATATGATGTATTATTATTACATCAATAATAAGATTTCCGTTAATTTTAAATTCTAAAATTGTATACTGATAAGAATTGAAGTAGTAAATTATTAATATTAGATTAAATTTACAAACCATATGTGGAATACAATTTTAAAATTAGAGGGATCAAAAATTAATAAAATTAAATTCTTTCAATTATTTTACTTATATTAGTTATTAGAAAAATAAAAATAATTATTTACCCATCAACATCTTTAGAAGGTGATACTGTGTCCGTAATTAAATTAGAATTAATTTTATTAACGCTATCAAGTGGCATTTGAACGATGATACCGTGAACGGTAGGATCATTGTTTAATTTGTTTACTATGTTGATCAGTTCAATTTCTGTTGTGGTGTTCGGAAGTTTAACATGCTGTGCATTTATTCCAATGTCGGTAGCTGCCTTGATTTTCATTCGTATATAAACGTTAGAATCTTCTCTACCACCAACTTGGACAATAGCCAAACTAGGAGTAAAGTTTGGTAACTTAGCTCTAAGGTTTTTTACATCTTGTGTTAAAGATGCACGGATTTCTCTGTAAAGTTAAATTTCCGTAAAAATTTTTCTTTTTTCTTCAATTTATTATTTTATATTTACAATGATAAATGAAAAATCATAATTTATTAAACGACAAACATATATACATATATTTAAAATAATTACATGCGCCGTTCAAATGCGGTTATTTGAATATAGTAAGAACGAATCCCGCCTTAATTTGATTGTCCCGCCTTTATAGATCCCCATAACCTTAAATCTTAGAAATATTCATGCAAGATTAGTTTATATATTTTTTTTATTACTTATTTCCATTATTTTCATCTTGAATAGATACATAAGTAATAATTTTTCATAATTTTATGTTAGTCACATGCCAATAA